GGTGGAAGATGCGACTCTTTGCTTGGAGAACGGGAAGTTGGTAGAGTATTTCTCTTTGTTGGATAACTTTGTTTTATAGTTTAATATCATAGAGTATTGGATTTGGATCCTAGACCTAGAGCTAAATACTTAGTGAAAGGAGGTTATCACATTCTGTCATTCAATGATAAGATTGATCCTGAGTCAGTCAAGGAGCTCGTCTCAAATAAAGCTTCGCCACTTAAAGTTTTTATGTTCATAGGGAAGCTGCTAAGGAACATGATTTTGACAGAATACAACTTAGACATGAGCGGGATAATATTAGCTGCTACATGGGGTACTTTGGTAGAAAATACAAAGAGGATGATAGACAACATTAATTTCGAAATGTTGTTTTTTCTTCTTCATATTTGGTCTAGTATTTTATGGATCTCGTGTTTTCTTCTAAATAAAACTTATAGCCATGCTCTTTAATTTTTCAACTTTCACTCCTTCAATAAAGAGACTCGTAAATTCTTTTAATTAAAATGGATGTCATGTCTAGGTTATTTAGAAAGAGAGAAATTTTCAAATATCTTTAGGCTAAAAGAATCTCACATTTCGCAAAATTGTTGATAAGATTAAAATTCTTTCTGAGTGATGGCTTAAGATTAAATGACTAAATATATATTTTTGACATAAAACTTCTTAATGATCTAACTCGTATGTTTTTATTGGTTATTTGATCGGTAACATTTTTGTTGTTATTCTCACACCATTTGTGTTTTTACATTTAAGACCTTTCATTATTTTTTTACTATAGTCACCACTTATGCTAGTTACGGTCATTAAAATATGGATTCCATGCATGACAAGTAAAGACCCAGGTAGTTAGATTCTAATTGAATTGAAGTAAACTGAAAGTGTTAGGTTGAAGGCGAGTTAAACTAAACGGGAAGCAAAGAAAAAATGGCGGCGTGTTCGTCTTCATCATCAGAGATGGAGGAAGAGATAACATTGAAAATGAAATGGACTAGAAAAGAATACACCATATGAGTGTGCGCTAATGACACTGCCGGAGAACTCAAATTAATGTTTTACCCATTTGTCAGAAGCTTTTGTACCTTAAACTCGCTTCTAAACACAATGACAATTCTCTCTTACTCTCTCAACAATCCATAGATCTCAACAAATCCATTTCTCAAATTCACCATGATTGGGTTCACTTTCTTTCTTTTCACTCTCTCTTTCTTAGGGGGAGCCTGAATTGAAGTTCACAGGTAGTATTAGAAAAAAAGACATTAGACTGGGAGAGTTCAAATCAGACCAATTTGTACTTCTGACTATCAAGAGTGAATTTCCTTTCACTGGGTTAATGTCCTCAAAACGTATGTGTTTTTGCACTGAACTGGGTTTTCAATTCCTATGTTATTTACGTTATGCATTAACTATGTATGTTACGTATTATACATGTCATACACATTGTTCTAACATTGTTTCTTACATCTTATTATCCATAGCAAAAACTTTCACTATTTCACTCATTCTCACTTTGTTATCATTTTTATTTCCAAGAACTCACCTTAGTGTTGAGAGAGTGAAAAGATTCATATGAGTTTCGAAAGATTGTTTTTTCTTCATATTTGATCTAACATTATATGACTCACGTGTTTTTCCAAATGAAATTTATGCCTATGCTCTTCAATTTTGCGACCTCGCTCCTTCAATAAGGAGGCTCGCAAATGCTTTCAATCAAAGTGGATAACATGCTTGGCTTGTTTAGAAAGAGAGAAATTTGCAAATATCTTTAACATTAACACAAAATAATCTCACATGCTGATAAGATTAAATGGCTTAAGGATAAAAGTCAGAATATATTTTGTTACATATATTCTTAGTGATCTAACTCATCCGTTTTTAGGAAATTTATTTTTTCTCCCTTATGGTGAGAATCACACCTCTGAAAAACCCAAAAATATTCTTAGAAATTTTTGGAGATGTATCTCCGAACGCACCATGAAGTATTTTTGCCAAAATTTGATTCAGAGACGCATCTTTGAATATTTTTGGGGTGTATATTGACTTTATGTTTATTTAGTTATGTTAATTATTTCAAGTAAATAATTGATTAAATTGAAATGATTTCACTTTTTTTTAAACAACCAACTAATTCATTCACAGCACCAGGGATGCAAAGGAAATACATCAGATTCAAGTCTGAACCATAAGCAGAATTCCAACCAGTCTTAATTGAGCTGAGAAATTACAAGATATAAAGTCATTATCTACTTCAAAACCAAAATAGAACATCATATCATAGATAAAAATATAGATGTAGCCGCCTGAACCTAAGATAAATAAAAAGCCAGAACTGTAACCAAAATTAAGCTGAGGTCGAAAGATGAAACATCTGCTGCATTGGGGTCGGAGACCAGCGATAACAGCCCCTCAGGAAACGACAAGCTAAACTCCAAATCAGAATCATGAAAAATTCAGAAACTAAATGTCATGGATGCCACAACAAGCCCTAGAGTTTGTTCTCCATTGAGCATAATTGAATTTCACATCAGGATTATTAATGGGTAACCATCTCCAAGAATAATAAATAATGTCCTCAATCAGCTTATCAATTTCCACTTTTTTGTTGCGAAAGATTTTAGCGTTCCTAGCTTTCCAGATGCTCCACACACACGTAAACGAAACCACACAAACCTTATACGATATTTCCTTATCTCCTCCAATCAGCCCTTCAAATTGCGCAAAATGTGTCACACTTTCTCTATGTAAAGCCGTATATATCCGTAACCAATTGCAAACAAAATGCCAACTACCTGAAAATGAAGGACACTCGAAAAACAGATGAGATATGGTTTCTTCAGCCCCACATTCCCCGATACACCTAAGGGATCCTAGACCAATGACATTCCTTCTAAATAGATTTTTCTTTGTGGCAGGTCTGTTTTGAAATAACCTCGAACCAAAACAGGATACTTTCAGAGGAATCGAATTGTGCCAAGCCTTAATCCACGAGAAGTTAAATTGATTAGGCTCGGTAGTCTTTAAATCCTTATACATATCTTTAACAAAATAATAGTTTGAGTTTTCCTAATCACCTACTTGCAGATCACAAACCCTTTTCCACCAATTAGAATCTTTACTACTCGAGATGCCCCTCATAACCTCTATCTCCCTGTACCTATTCTTCAACGCTTTTATCCATAACCCGCACCTTTCCGATTTTATCTTCCATTTCCACTTTCCTAGAAGAGCAATGTTAAACACTTTCAAGTCTATAATCCCAAATCCCCCTTCCTCGAGTGGGGTACAAACCTTTTCCCAATTTACCCAATTGATTTTTCTCTCATTCTCACTCCCACCCCACAAAAATTGTTTAAAAATTGATTCAAGTTTCGAAATAATACATGTCGGAGCCTTGAAAAATGAGAGAAAGTAGACCGAAAGCGTGTGAAGGAATGATTTTATAAGAACCACACGACCATTAAGAGAGAGATAACAGTTTCTCCAGCATAACAATCTAGAACTAACATCATCTAATATCGGCTGCCATGTAGCAATTATATTCAGAAAGGCGCCAATGGGCAGACCTAGGTATTTGAAAAGGATAGAACCCTTAGACCTAGGTATTTGAAGAGGATAGAACCCTTATGACAATTCAAGATCTTTGCTGCCTCTTCCAGCCATCTGTCATTAATGTTTAACCCTACAATCGTGCTTTTGTTGAAATTAACCTTTAGGCTTGACATAACTTCAAAAAGCATTAGAATCGCCTTAATAATCTGGATATTTGACCACTTTTTTCCCTCTATAATCAAGGTATCATCGGCATATTGCAGATGTGTGAACCGATCTACGCCATTGTCGAATTTATATCCAATGAATTTACCAAATTCGACCGCTTTTTTCATCAGCATGCTAAAACCTTCGGCAACAATGAGGAATAAGAACAATGACAGAAGGTCACCTTGTCGTAATCCCCTTTCCATCCTAAATTCATTGGTCGGACTGCCATTAACGAGAATAGAAATTGTCGCGGATTTTAAACATTCTGCTATCCAATGTCTCCATTTCACATGAAAACCTATCTTCGACATCACACAATCCAGAAAATTCCAATCCACCGAATCGTATGCCTTCTCGAAGTCAACCTTAAACATCAACATTTCCTTTTTCTTTTTCCTAGCCTCATCCACAATCTCGTTCGTGATTAAAATGTCGTCGAGGATCAATCTGTCTGATATGATTGCTGACTGTGATTCAGAGATTACTGATCCAATCACTTTTTTAATTTGTTTGCAAGGATTTTGGAAATAATCTTGTAAATACATCCTATCAACGCAATCGACCTATAGCTTGTGCTACACATTTGTACATTTTTTAGCACTTCTTTTAGGTATTTTTGAGAACACAAGTTCTCCAAAAATTTTAAAATATTTTTTTCTACTACAATTTTTTAGAGACTTTATTTAATAAATTTTTTTTAAAAAAAAATGAATTTTAAAAAAAAAGATGGCAGTTTCTTAAAAAATTGATCTTGGTAAAATATATTTTTTATTGTATTAAATTGTAAATTAAATTAATATTTTTTGAATTATAATATTAAATTATTAGTGAGATTTGTTTAATTATTATTTTCCTGAACTGGTTAATTAGTAAAATTGAGTGTTTATAAAATATTATAATATTACAAAAAATATTTAAAAATAATTTATAATAGTAAGATCTACTTACAAATTTAAATAAAAAACTATCATTGTAAATATTTTAAGAGTAACTTTTAAAAAATTTCTAAAATTAATATATGAAAATAATTACAAAAAACTGTACGTTAGTTTAAAATTATTTTCTCACAGATATAATCAAATCACCAATTGTTCTAATCACTGAAATTATTTGGTAATTAAAATATGGATTCCACGCGTGACAAGTAAAAGACCTTGGTAGTTGGATTCTAATCGAATCGAAGTGAAGGTGTTAGGTTGAAGGAGGAGTTTACATACACTGCAAAGGAAGGTAAGAAAAAAATGGCGGCGTGTTCATCTTCCTCACCGGCGACAGAGGAAGAGATAACACTGAAAGTAAAATGGACCGGAAAGGAATACACCGTGCGAGTGTGCGCCGACGACACCGTCGGAGAACTGAAGCGTCGTATCTGCGAAGTAACCAACGTTTTACCCATTCGTCAGAAGCTTCTGTACCCTAAACTCGCTTCTAAACTCAACGATGATTCTCTCTTACTCTCTCAGCTTTCCATCGATCTCAACAAGTCGTCTCTCAAATTCACCATGATCGGGTTCGCTTTCTTTCGTTCTTAGGGTTTGTTTGTTTCTCAATTTATTAATTTAATCGGTTCTTTTTATCACGACAGTACTACTGAAGAAGATTTGATAGTTGATCCTGTTGATTCCCCTGAGATTCTCGATGATTTTGAACTTGCTCAAGAAGAAGCTATTGATACCAAAGATATGCATGTTAACAAGCAGAAATTGACCAGACGCATTAATCACTTCAAAGTACTGCTACTATTTTCAATTTCATTTCTTTTATTTGTTCTGCATTTTCATTGAGGACATTGTTTATATAGTGTATCGGAATTAAACCCTTACTATATTATGTGATTATGATGATAATGCAGGTTGAAATTCAAAACCCTTGTCGCCAAGGAAAGAAACTCCTTGTTCTGGATATTGATTACACCCTTTTTGATCATCGATCTACTGCCGAAAACCCTCTTCAACTCATGAGACCTTGTATTGCATTCTCCACTTCTTAATTGTTTTTCATTCATTTGTTTGTTTAATTACTCCCTCCATTTCATATGTTTGGGGGTTTAAGGATTTTATAATTGACTGTTTTATAAATTCTTATCTTTCAATGCAAAGAACCTAAATACACTCTAGGGGTGTAGTTGGAAAACATAGGTCAATTATATCGAATTTCTAAAATATTTATTGTTTTGAAACAAAAATGAAATTCCAACAACACTACCGAATATTTGGAACGGATGGAGTATTATTTACTCGGTTTGCAATTTCGGAATGCAATGTTTTTTTCTTCTTTGCAGACCTTCATGAGTTTCTAACAGCAGTTTATGCTGAGTATGACATTATGATATGGTCTGCGACAAGGTACATTAATTTATTCTCTTGAATTCTTGTTCTTTTTGGAGAATATATAACACTTGCTGTGATTCACTGCAACTGGGGCACATATATTATGTTCCCTATAATTGAAGTAATGTATGCATGTTTCATCTGATGTTTCGCTTTTTGACTTGCAGTATGAAATGGATTACTCTCAAGATGAGCCAACTTGGGGTTCTGGACAATCCTAACTACAAAATCACTGCATGTCTTGACCACTTGGCAATGATCACTGTCCAGACAGCTTCTCGTGGGGTCTTTGATTGCAAACCACTTGGTTTGATTTGGGCTCAGCTCCCTGAGGTATGTACAATGCCATATATCTTAATTATGCAAAGTAAATTATAGAATTGGGTTTAGTATGTTTATTCTATCATAGTCGTAGTCATACTTTTCCATATACGGCTGACCGCATAGTTTACATTTTTATCTGGGGAGAAACAGGACAACTGGAATAAGTATTATTGCAAAATTTTCCTGATAAACTTAAAAGATGATCAATGTTTGTTAGTGGGATTATACAGTATATAACCCTAGGTGGACTATGGAGCATGTTGATATAAGTTAAACTAAATCGCAAACTGTAATTATCTGATGTACCAAATTGTAATCAATTTCTGGTTTAGAGTTTTGGTTTAATGTTGGAATTTTTTGCAACAATCAGCCACAATCTGTTTATCTTGATGGTGGTTTCTTTCTTGTTTTGTTTCAGTTCTACAGTGCTTCTAATACTATTATGTTTGACGACCTTCGAAGAAATTTTGTGATGAACCCGCAGAATGGTTTGACAATTAAACCATTTAGGAAGGCTCATGCAAACCGAGACAGTGATCAGGAGCTTGTGAAACTTACCCAGTACTTACTAGCCATAGCAGAACTTGATGATTTGAGTCACCTTGATCATAATAAATGGGAGTCATTCTCGGAGGACAATGGTAAAAGGCGTAGGCACAAATGAGTGATAAATAGAATGCAATAAGAGGAATTTGATAAGCAAGATGAAGCTTCTAATCTTATTTACAAAGCTTGGATCAAAGCGGGGTTGTTATATTGTTGCCAAAGAATTGTTAAAATGCACTTATAAAATGCGAAAATTGGTGACAAGTGACAACTATAACTCCAGCCGAAGTGATTAATTTATTCTATTTCTGGACAATGCGTAATATGCTAGTTATTGAATTGCCTTTTAAGAAAGGTTGTTTGTGGCTTTATCTTTTGTTTCACTTTAACTATTTTGCCTTAAAAAAAGTAATGTGCAAGTTCAATATTTTGTTTATGGTTTTTGGCCATGTTCCTGTATTGTGTTTTATGATTCGGAATTTATTTCTTTGCATAAAATTAGGGTTAGGGGTGTTCGTTGGTTCGGGCAAATCCGAACTTAACTGGAATCTAAACCAAACTAGTGTTTGGGTTGAGCATTTTTCAGTTTAGGCAAGAACCGAATTAAATCAATGAAATTCGATGACAATTAGTCCGGGCGTTAGATTTTCAATTTTCTATCATGTCTATATGAACTAATCATAATTAATTATCATAAAAATTATTATCAAACATTTAATTTAAGAGAAAAAAAAGTGAAGTTTCGTATATGGATAAGTTATGTTATTTTAATTTGTTATCAGAAAATTGTTAGTATTTTGTTAATTGAGCATAGAATTATGAAACACATTTATTATCATACTAATTCAATTGATTAATTATCGATTCAAAAGTCTTTATGTTAGCTATTTTTCATTGTTAGATATTTTTGAATCTATTATGGAAAAATGGTTACTTTAGTATTTATAATTGAACACCCTTAATACAATTTATTTTTTTAAAGAAAATTTATGTCCGTAAATAAGTTATTCTTTTCAAATATTTTTTTGTATTTTTTTCAATTCAATCCAAGTCAACTCGTTTGTTTCTCGGTTCAGTTTGATTTGAGATTTATCATAAAAATTTGCAAATTCAATTTCAATCAATCCATATAATTTTAATCGATTTGGATATCAGTTTCTCTCAAAATCAAACTAAACTGACTCACGAACATCCCTATATAAAATGATTGCAATATGTTTGGAATCACGATAACACCGCTTTTGTTGAAAATTTCAAATTATTTTTTAGCTAAAGAGAAAAAAACACAAATGAACTCGAGAATGCATCCACTCAAGATTTTGTCCAAAGGGCCATCCCCAATCCAAATCCCAATCAGTTGCCCTCCGGAGGTCCTAGTCTTCAGTTTGTTGCTAGCGGGCTTGGTAACTCTCCAAACATAGTGATCCAGCCCATTCCTAAATACAAGTGTCTTGGGGAATTGGGAGAACCTCTTGAAAAAAATTCAGAAGTATCGGTTCTTATTCTTCATCCTAGTTCAAAATCTCGAGCTCAAAAAATATCCACGGTGACACCCTTTGCAAATCCATCCCACATCTCCTCCCTAGATTGAATGATGTGGACTTCAAAACGAACATCCATTATCATTGCAAGACGTAAAGAACGTGATTTAGAGTTCAGTAGGGGACAAAAGTCCTGGTCTGGATGGGTTTACAATGTCTTTCTATAAAGCAAGTTGGAAGATCATTAGTCATGATCTCCATGAGTGTGTCAATGGATTCTTCTCAAAGACCTTCTTGGCCTTGTTTATTTCATTAATACCTAAGTCTCATAACCCTATGTTGCTTAATGATTTTTGGCCTATCTGTCTCATCATTAGTGTCTACAAGATAATCTCAAAACTCCTAGTTGGAAGATTAAAGAAAATAATTGGTAATCTTGTCTCAAATAATCAAACGACATTTATTTCTAGCAGAAGCATACTGGATGGAGTCATTGACTTTCTCTTTAAAAGATTTTATAAAAAAAAAGTTAATTTTGAACAAAGTGGACATCCATACTTTAAAAATTTTCTTTGTAGTTGGGTCAAAACATTTGTAACCATTTTTATTTGAAGCATATGCAAGGAAAATACTTTTTTTTTTTTTTTTTAACTTTAGGAACAAATTTAGAACGCAAAATATTTTGAGATATAGAATCAAATAAAAAATTTAAGGAAAGATATACAATGTTTCATGATAAGCGAAAATAATTTTGTAAAGTCTGAACACGAGTCTCATATTTTAAAATACAAGATGAACTTCGAATAATGAGGTAACAAATACTCTATCCGTAATAAATTATAAGTAAATTTGATTTTTTTGGTATATTTGACAATTATGTAGTTCATATATAAAATTATGTAGTTCATATATGGACTACATACATTAATTATCAAATGTACTTAAAAAGTCAAATTTGTTTATAATTCATTACGGAGGAAGTAGTTAATAAAAATTATCAACCAATGAGATTCAGATGCTTAAATAGTTATCCTACTTCTCCTTTTGTCATCAATAAAAAGAAGTAAACAAAATAAGCATAAAAGAAACGAATCCTCATATTTAAAATGTTTTGGATATTACTAAATCTTGATAAAAATGAATCAAAAATATTTTTTCGCCCCTCTTGAAAAAATGAATAAAATGACAAGTTTTAAAGATTTTGAAAAGTGGTTAGAGTTGTTGAAAACAGATCTTCAATTCTCAAGGTGGTCAAGCCTTCAGTTGAGAATGCATGGGAAACAGAAGCAGTCAAGCTGGGAACATGAGCTTGAAGACCTAGAACATAGCCCTCTTTCATTGTCATTGGTGATCAAAATCCAAAATTAATTATGCTTTGTTCAAAACTCTTTATGTAAGCATGGTATCAATACAAGTAAAGTCACATTCCTTCATCAAATTTCTTATTTTCTCTTGATAAAATGGGCAAATCATCTGAGAATTTCAAGAGCAAATCCCCTAAGGAAATCAACAAGGTCAGTAGGAACACTTCTTCTAAGAGGGGCTCCTTTCAAAAGTATGAAAGAATTAGATCTTTTGAAGGTGCAATCACATCCACCAGAGCATCAAAGGTAGAAAGAACTTCAGTAACAGGGATGAAGAAACCCAAAAAAAGAAGAAGGATCCTATTGAAGAATTTGAATATGACTCAAATGCTGACGAGGATTACGTGTCCTTCCTCATGACTTATGATTGGAGTGATGGCCAAGTGTGAAAGTTTTAGCTTCTTGTAGTTCACCTGTTGTCTTTAGATAATGATTCTGAATCTTACAATCATTTGTTGATCAATAAAAGACAGTCCTTTTCCATTATTCCAAAAGATTCTCTTGTCACTAACATCTTATGAATAAGCCATTGATAGAAAAGTCTCATAATAGTTTTCAACTATTTCAGCCATTTTTGAAAACAATTTTAATCAAACATATAAAAATGATTGAAAAGTTTTGAATTTATTTTTTACTTAAGGGTAACAAGACAAGATTTTATTATACTAGAGAACACAATAACTCACAAAGTTAATTAAGACATGTTACTGATGAATTAAGACATTAATATAACTCAGAGTTCAAGCAAAAACAACAGAATCTGAAAGATAATAAAATCCAACAAATAAAAGACCGAAAATTCAGAGGACTTTTCAAATAGGTGACACATATGTGGACAAGTGAAAGACAAAGCATTAAAAAATCTACGTATATGCTATCAGAGGCAGTAAATCAAAGTCTAAGTATCAGAGGCTAAGATGCTTCAGAATATACTATTCATCAAAAGCTAGTTTAGAGCTTCTGATCATCATCAGACTCTGATCCTTCATTCAGAACCCAACACTATTCTTTTACAAAATGTATGTTCATATTATTTTTAATAAGATCAAACCTTTCTATAGCAAGAGGCTTGGTAAATATTTCATCCCATTGATGATCAGTATCAATGAACTATATATCTATTACACCCTTCTGAACATAATCTCTAATAAAATGATGTTTAATTTCGATGTGCTTGGTTCTTGAATGTTGAATAAGATTCTTTGTCAAACAGATAACATCAATATTATCACAATATGGGAACAATGCTTCCACAAATATGATAATCTTCCAACTGATATTTCATCCAAAGGATTTGTGTGCAACAACTAGTAGCTGAGATGTATTTTGCTTCTGTTGTAGACAAAGTAATAGTTGCTTGTCTCTTGCTAGCCCAGGATATAAGGTTTTCACCTATGAATTGACAATTTTAACTAGTGTATTTTCTCTCATTTTTATCTCCAGCATAATCAACATCAGATAATCCAACCAACTTATAATCTAGAAATTTCTTATAAAGCAATCCTAGATTAGGTGTTCCCTTCAGATAACTAAAGACCCTTTTAACAACAGTTAAGTGAGTCTCTCTAGAATTTGATTGAAACCCAGTACACAAGAACACACTAAATAAAATATCAAATCTCGAAGTTGTTAGATAAAGTAAGGAACCTATCATACCTTTGTATAACTTCTGATAAACTTTGGTGCTGCTTTCCTCTTTGCTCAGATTGCAGGTTGGATGCATAGAAATTGTCATGATTTTGAAGCCATATGGTTTAAACTTCTTAAGAATATCTTTTGTGTATTTGGTATGATGAACATAGACTCCATCCTTGTATTGGTTGATTTATATTCGAAGGAATAACTTTAATTCTCCCATTATTCTCATTTTAAACTCGGTTTGCGTTGTCTTAAAAAATTCCTTACAAATAGTGGCATTAGTAGAACCAAAAATAATATCATCATCATAGACTTGAACAATTAATATGTCATTCTTTAATATCTTTCTGAATAGTGTAGTGTCTACTTGAACCTTTTAAAAACCATTTTCTAAAAGGAAATTTCTCAGACCCTCATACCAAGCTTTGGGAGCTTGTTTGAGTCCATATAATTATTTCTTAAGTTTGAAAACATATTCTGAGTTGATAGAATCCAAAATCCAAGTGGTTTTTTGACATACACTTCTTCAAAAATGACACCATTTAAGAATGCACTCTTAAGATCCATTTGGTATAAAAAAATGTTATGATTAATGGTGTAAGATAAGAGTATTTCGATTGCCTCTAACCTTGAAACATGTGAAAAAGTTTTAGAGAAATCAATACCTTCTTTCTAATTGTAGACTTGAGCTACAAGTCTAGATTTATTTATTACCATTTCACCTTATTCAGTGAGCTTGTTTCTGGAGACCCATTTTATTCTAATAATGTTCTTTTGATGAGGTTTGGGTACTAAATCTCAAACATCATTCTTTTGAAACTGATTAAGCTCGTCTTGCATAGCCATAATCCATCCATCATAAGATAGTGCTTCATCAATATAAGTAGGTTCAATCATGGATATAACTCCTAGCATAGAGTGTTATCCTCTGAATACATATCTTGCCTTCCTAGAAATATCATTATTTCCAATTATTAACTCTTTTGGACGTGAATACTTGTACTTAAGGTTCTTGGATTGTGTTTCTTCTTGAGAGTCATCATGAATTCATCCACAAACCTCTTCTTCTGGATGAGATTCAGATGTTAGATTGGCTTCAGGACCACCAACTTCTGAAGGTTGTTTGGTTTTTGAATTAATAGCTTATGGACATCCAACTGCTGAAGGTTGAGCAACTTATGAGTAGCCAACTCCTAAGGAGTCTTCAGATACCTGAATTTCTGTAAAACTTTCACCAAGCTTCTGGACATAGTTGTTTTTTTATCATTTCTCAGTCCAAATTGAAGATGCACTTGTATTATGTAAAAAATTATTTTGAAGATGCATCTCTGTATGTGAAAAAAATGCATCTAAAGATGCATCTCCGTACACACTATTTATTAAAAAATGTGTTAGTGGTCTGAAGATGCATCTTCAGACGCTTTCTTTCTTTAACCCGTGTCAGAACTCTTCCCTCTTTCTCATTCTTCATTTTCTATTAAAAAAACATTTTACCTCTCTCTCATAACCATTGCATTGAAGCTTTGAATCATTTCATTGAAGCATTAAATTAGCTATTTCTAATCATTTTCATCATCTCATAACATCGAAATAACTATTTATCATCAATAAATTTCATTTTGGTAATCTCTTACGAGGGTCACCGCCAGATACGACCGTTTGACATCATCTCTTTATACTCTAGATGGTTCGTGTGTGGGTCATCTCTCATGCATCCTTATCTTCCAGAGCGGGCGATGTGCCAGTTTGACTATATGTAGATCATTCTGATACCTCCCTATGAAGTCGCTCCTCCTGGTACTCACCATAGAGACCTACTAGTGATAGTGGATGATTTTGAGAGTCACCTTGATACCAGAGGAGTATCATCGGGAGTAAATTGATAGACATTGGGTTTGTGATGAGGGATACATGATATGGTTTTATAGGGTGTCACACACTATCATGATGCCAAACGTTCCTAGAGAACCACCTAGTCCAGCTAACCTGAAGGTACTTGAAGTTTGGGATGAGCATGCATAGAGCGTGATGGCAATATGTTGGCGTGTTGCGGAGATGGGTATAGGAGCCATAGAGGCAATACTTTTTGAGGATGGTTCTCCCCAGTTGGTCGTAGTGCAAACCATGGTTTCCGAGTTACGGGATGCCATGTGGTACAAGCGGCGGAGGAGGCATGCGGTTAGACATACCCAGTTGTTTACATTGGGACTTTTATTTTTTTTATATTTTCAGATGTATTTTTGGACACACGTTATGTACTCCCTCCATACCAGTTTATAAGCAAAAAAACACGCATTTTTTTAGTTACAAATTATAAGCAAAAAAAAACATCAACTTTATGTCATTTAATCATTTTATTCTAAAAAGTTCATCTTTTTCAAGGTAAAATTAAATGTAAATTACATTTAATTTGATTTCTATCTCATTTTTTCCATAAACAACAATCAATCAAAATTGTTTTTACATCTTTCTATAAAACGTATTTTAAAAAAGACACAAGAATTTTAATTTTCTTAATAAGTGTAAAATATTGGAGTTTTGCTTATAAATTGGTACGGAGTAGTATGAATTATGTTAACTATTTTTTTATTAATATATGAATGTTTATCCTTCTTTAACTTTAAATTTACTTTGATTTTACGTTAATATAAGTTGATGTATGCATTTTGGCCTAAAAAAAATTAAATGTTTAGACAGTGGTGTTGGTCTGATGTGAATCAGGAAGGGTTCCGAAAATGTATCTCCAAAATAATATTCCTTTGTATTTGTCACGCTTCGAAAATATTTCAGAGTACATTTCAGAGATGCATCTTCGTATTTACCCAAATACCTTATAGAGATGCATCTCCGGATCATATTTTGTTTAAAATTTGGGGAAACTCAGAACAACACGTTTTGATTGTGATTTGAGTACGTCCGAAAATACTTCTCTAAACACATAAAGGATATTTTTAAATTTTCAAAAGTGTTAGAGACACCACTTCTATTTTAATATGTAAAAGTCAAAAACCTAGACAACAATGTTGGTCCACTAGGAAAAGTAAGTTAGTTCCACCATAAAATCCATAGGTTGGTGTTTAAATTTTGATTGTGAAGCTTAATTTGGCACATCACTTCACTCTTGACTTGCTTATTCGGGAACCCATTCTAAATGGTGGATGTGAATTTCAAATCCATTTTATAAGAATAGATTAAATATCACTGCACCACTTCACCTTCTACTAAAATATTGTGTAAATCTCGTGTTGTTTCTATGTGCAAATATAAATATATTATTATCCCAATTTATTTTTATTATAAGCAATGATTTTATTCAAAAGAAAAGAGAGTGCAATGGGTACTCTAACCCATCAACAAACACATAAAGACATAATCCAATCAAAACTAAACAGGAGAAAATTATCCCCCATCTTAAACCTTTCAAAGGACAAGTAAACTAATCATAGAAATTACAAAAAGAGGAAGAAGAACAACTCAATCTCATCCACTTTCAAGACATTATTCAATGGATGTCAAACAATCCTTAAAACTGAAAATTTTACCTTGAAACATAATAGCATTCCTCGTCAATCAAATATTCCAATTCGTATCTGTTTTGGACTGGGCCTGCCTGTGGCCCAATTATCAGCGAGGCCCAATCCAAGCTTTACAACATACCATGCTGAGTATTAGAATCCCCGACATGCCCTGATCATGGATGTCTTCGAACCCAATTGTGTCCGTCGGTGTCAGTGAAGAGAGTCCCCGACAA